TGATTAGAACAATTAGAATGTGGAGGAGCTTTTAAATTGATGATTGAACATAAGAAACTAATCAAATTATCTGTTGTGGAGTTTACGTAATAAAAGACAGCGACACAAATTATTTGTTGTGGATATATAACTTTTATGGGGATGGGGCTGAGAAGGTAGAGGTACTAATACTATGCAGCAAAATTTCTGCTAATTATTTGTTTAGGGAATTAGATCTGGTTGATTGCAGCTTTCCTTATGGCATCAATCAAAGTAGTGATTTCTGGGGAAAATAGAAGTTATGACTTATGTTTGTGTTTAGAGTATTTCTTAATGTTTGCAAATCTACTATTTCATAAATAATGAAGGGAGATTGTCATCAAAAGTTCAGTGTGGAGACTGCATATTGATTTTCACTTTGTGAATTTTCATGTACTGTATTACATGTGGCTGTTTTGTTTGGTATGGTATCGATGCTTGTGGGTTTTGTTGGAGCAATGTGTGTGTGTTTGTGTGTTTTTCTGTTATTTTGTCTGCATCCTTCTACTGCAATGAGTGCTGAAGCTTGTGAAATGTTTTTCAATGTATCTTAACATTATGTCATGTTACTCTATTGTTTTATTTTTGGTCAAAAGAGTTACTATATTGTTTGATGTTGAGGCAGACATAATCTGTTTCATTGTTTGCTGTTTTAAATCAATAATGAAGGATAGTCGAAGGAATAATGAGGACGAAGAACATTAAGGGAGGAGCATCTCATAAAGGTTCTCGGGCCCCGAAGACCACAGTTGCAAAGGGTTCGAAAGGTAACTCTTCAGTGGCTTCCTCAAGCTCAAAACAACGGAGGCCAGGAAAACGAATATCGGGTCCTATGGCTAGTGGGGTGTTCGGGGTACGTGTCTTCAAACCAAGGGACCGCAATCCTTGTTCACCGTTGCTTCACTTCGATTTGGAGGAACATATCTCCTTCAAGGTATTCTTATTTAATTTTACAATTGGCATTTCTCATGTTGGAATAATTTGTAAGTAAGTGGGTCAGAATCAAATTCGTTGTACTAAATCCTTTGTGTTTTCTTTAGCTGACTTTAACAAAAATCAGAGGGTGTGGAAACAACGACAAGTGTGCTGAATGGTATAACGTAGGAATGCACGACACGGTGAAAGCAAAGGTGAAAGAAGCTGGATTTGTGCCCTTTTTGTCAATATTGGGCCATGGTAAGAAAGGGGACAGGCCATTACTTGTGGCCTTAGCGGAGAGATGGTGGGACACTACCCACACCTTCCATTTCGATGAAGTTGGAGAGATGACGATGACACCAACGGACTTCGCAGCAATCACTGGATTGCGTGTTGGTGGGAAGCGTTTACAGTACGACTTCGAGATGTACAAAAATAAGAACAAGATGATGAAATTGTTTGGGAAACCAATCGCAGACCTACTGGCAGGGGAAAGGAGAGTGCCGTATGAAAGCCTTTGCACCCCGTGTTGGAACAAGATTCCGAAAGATGATAAAGAAGCAGACCAAATTGCCAGGGCATTTATACTCTGCCTGATTAGCTCCTCATTCCTAAATGATAAGAGCCAATACGTGAGTATGCACTACGCCCCCTGTTTGGAAATAGTATCAGACATTGGTAAATACGACTGGGGCGGTGCGGCTTTGGCTTGTTTGTATAGATCACTGGATTCTTGTTCCAGGGGTAGGTCATCGAGCATGGGCGGGTATTGGAGGGCATGGGAGGTTAGTTTAATCGAATTGAATGTCCCCAAAGTGCAACAGACTTTTTTGCTTACATTACTAATTTGTATACTTCTTTTGTGTAGGTATGGGCTTGCGAGTACCTAAAACCGTTTGCTTTATCAAGGCCCAGTGGGAGCGTGAACACGTGGCCCCGAACATTGAGGTGGGTTGGTGCAAAATCAAGGCGGGACTTGCAACATCACTTGGAACATTTTAGAGTGATGATGCGACATCTAACAAAGGATCAGGTATAAAGACTTGACCCTTAAACCCATATTTTATGACCACAAAAATGTATGATTCGCAAATGTAATAAATTTGTATTGCAGGTAAATTGGAACCCATGGGGGACCAATGAATCCGAGTTGCCGGAAGAAGTAAAAAATATCGTGCCGGCAACTCGTAAATGAATCCTACTTGAGGGACCAGCTGGTTCAGCCTGGTTTTTGGGAGAGCGAGTCGCAATGCAAAGTTTAGGCACCACAGAACCTCAAGTACCGAAAATTCCACCGAGGACAATGCTTTCGGATTATAAACTCACTGATGAGTTAGAAGCCACCCAGCTTCCGAATAGCTTGCAAATTCATCCGACTATGCCTAGTACAGAGATGAGTACATACGGTATCGCCACTATGCGGACTTACGTGAAGTGGTACGTTTTACACTGAACGCGTGTTATGTAATTATACTTGCTGCATGAAATGCATATAATTTTTCAAAATTCTAAAATGATACCTGAATTCCACAGGAAGAACAACATCAAACTCCGGAAGGGGCCAAGATAAGGGTAGCAAACATCTCTCCTCAGACATGGACAACCCGAATACCATATTGGGCCGTTGAAAATGAAAGTAAACTTGTGCGGATACTCCGTGGCCAAGATAGCCCAGATCTACCATTACCTGATGGTGTCACGCATGTAAGTAGCTTGTATTGCATAATTTATTAATACATGAGGGCTTCCGATGGTCATTGTTGTAATTACATGTGCCGTAATGTAGGTCACTGCTGAAGCTGCAACTGAGCTTTTGGACCTTATTGCTGGGTTGAATGCTGCCCTATTTTCAACTGCATCGGAAGCAAACGTAGAGATCAGGCGCCTACGGCAAGAGATTGTGAGTAAGTTTCAACTTCATTTCATACTCATTTCATAAAATGAACAAACATCACTAATGTTATAGTCAGATAACAAACCAGGGTATTGAACATGAACGATGTTATCTTGTAATAGGAGAAATTGAAGAACACCTCGGGAACAACCATTGCGAGTTCGGGTCTTATTCAAGACGTCGTAGATGATGATGTAGAACATGTAAGTTTGTTACTTCCAACCTCCATTGTAAAGTTCGATGTATAAGATGTTTAATTTTGTAAATTTAATTAATATGTTACATTCTGCAATGCAAACCAGCATCACTTGTGTGCACAACAAATGTGAACAAAATTGTTTATTTATATATGTCAATGTTTCTCTTTATGTAGGAGTTTCGCAAAAAATTTAAACATGACATAGGTAGAAAAGGAAAGACCAAACTTGTGATACAAGAAGAGCATGAAGAAGACGAGGAAGAGGAAGAAGAAGAGGAAGATGAAGATGAAGAGGGAGATGACGAGGAAGTTTGGATCGAAGACGGGGATGAGGATGAGGATGAGGATGCGGATGAGGACGGGGCCGCACCTAAGGGTAATCCGGATGCAGAACAACACTCCACAGACCAAAAACGCAAAGGTGAGAAAAGTCTTCGTTCATGTACAACAAAGAGAAAGAAAACCATGTAAATCATGGATACAGTGACATTTTTCGGATCATGTTATCTTTGTTTTGTAAAAGAATATGTTCAGTTAATTGGCCCTTACCGTTTCTCATGTAGTATATTTCGGTTCATTTTGCGGCCTTCAATTGATCCATTTTTCCTCTGTAGTGGTTTGCACACAGTCACTCTCTCATTGCATCAACGTCGTGCAATTGCATGTTTACAATGCAAATGCTGACCGGGTGTGTGCAAACTAAAGCTAGCTTCAAAACGCTAACCTAATTAATGGATAGTGCAAAGACAAAGAAAAGGCAGTTCCCAATTTTATTAGGCCCCTCTGTGTATTATTTTTGTATTAGGGTTAATCACATTTTGGTTTACGAAATTGAGGATATTTTGGAAAGTCATTTGTGCTACATGACAATGTGTATTAGTATGTAATTTCGATAATTGGTCGATTTGTAATAGAATATGTTCGGCTTATAGCCCAA